GAGAGAGAGAGAGAGAGAGAGAGAGAGAGAGAGAGAGAGAGAGAGAGAGAGAGAGAGAGAGAGAGAGAGAGAGAGAGAGAGAGAGAGAGAGAGAGAGAGAGAGAGAGAGAGAGAGAGAGAGAGAGAGAGAGAGAGAGAGAGAGAGAGAGAGAGAGAGAGAGAGAGAGAGAGAGAGAGAGAGAGAGAGAGAGAGAGAGAGAGAGAGAGAGAGAGAGAGAGAGAGAGAGAGATTTTCATCAACTGATGTCAAACATTTGAACAGTATATATATAGTTTGGAACAGATTTTTTATGCTTCTTGAATTACGACACCGTCGTTGCATCGAGGGTACAAAATTTGTAGCGATAAAGAGGTTTAATTTAAAGGTATAGATATAAAGATCAGCAAATTAATTTGCAGACAAATGTTTCAAATTTTCAGAGTACCATAGCCATTTGAAACTCCTTAATCCAAAAGCTTTGAATGGCAAACCCGAGCAAAAAGTTTATTTTACATTCACTTTTATCCCTCTTGTAATTCATACCGGATATTCTCTGTCATTTCGTGTTTCAAATTAGAATTTCCGCATCATTAATAATTGACGCATATATATTAAAATAGTTATGTAATTCTTAAATAAATACTAATAATCTGACATCTATAACATACGAAGTTCCTAATTAAGAAAGAGTTCAATTTCATTTATCTTAAATTGTATAACATTTCGTTAAACTAAATATGCACTAAATATCAAAAGGGGAACTTTTGTCGATATAAAGGATTCTGGTTTTTGTTTTTATCTGAATTAATCTTTGTTTAATGCTAAATTATTCAGTATATTACAGCTATAAGGGATTTAAGATTCTAAGCACTTAGGTTTAGTAATAACAACTAATACGAATAAATAAAGAAAAAGTGCCGATATTTATGGTAAGGATTTTATATTTAAAAATTTCATAGCATTCTTTCGTGTTTGTATAACAAAACAAACGTTAAGACCACCGTTTGGATTGTCCATTTGGGAAAAATCGCAGGTCAGATCGAAAACGAAAGACAATATTTTAAATAATGACTCCTGAAAAACTTTTTTTATTTGAAATTCCATTTTGTTAATTCCTCCGTTGTTAATTTTTGTTAATTTTGTAAGACCACCGTTTGGATTGTTCGTTCTGAAAAAAAATCGCAGGTTGGATTGAAAACTCAAGATAACATTTTAAAGAATGACTCTCGAAAAACTATTTTTGTTATGTTAATTCCTCCGTTGTTAATTTTTGTTAATTTTGTAAGACCACCGTTTGGATTGTCCATTCTGAAAAAAATCGCAGGTTGGATTGAAAACTCAAGATAACATTTCAAAGAATGACTCTTGAAAAACTATTTTTGTTTTGTTAATTCCTCCGTTGTTAATTTTGTAAGACCACCGTTTGGATTGTCCGTTCTGGAAAAAATTGCAGGTTAGATCGAAAACGCAAGGTTAAAGAATGACTCTTGAAAAACTATTTTTGTTTTGTAAGTTCCTCCGTTGTTAATTTTTGTTAATTTTGTAAGACCACCGTTTGGATTGTCCATTCTGAAAAAAATCGCAGGTTAGATCGAAAACTCAAGATAACATTTCAAAGAATGACTCTTGACAAACTATTTTCGTTTGAAATTTTGTTTTGTTAATTTGCTCGGTTATTTTGTTTTTGTTTTGAGGTGCAAAATTTAAAAAATAATGCTCTGAAATGTACCATGTAACGTTAAAACTTTAGTCTCATTTTCATGTATTTGAAACGCATTCGACTGAGTACTTTGTCAAGAAATCTAACCCTAAATTCAAAATATATGATCGCAATTTTAATGACTCTCGTAGAAAATATTTGCGTTCATAAAGTATAGATTACAGCTTTTTAAATTGAGTGTTTGCAACTCGAAAAGAAGAACATGGCTGAAATCACATGGTTGGGTCTAATCACAGGTTATACTTGGTGTGCTAAAATTACAGCTCTTTTAGGTGTGTTTTTATTATCACGCTGAATCAATTTGCAGATTAGATTTAATTGTCTTCCTACGAACGACGTCACGCGTGTGTATCAAACCGAATAACCTGCTGAATCGTGGCACAAACAACTGCCACAATTTACCCACGCGTGACGTCAGTTGTTAGATATCAAATTAATCATTAATGTACCCGTTAGAACAATAAGGGTTTTTCTCAATTTTCATTAAAATAAACTCAATATTTGACTGTCATTTCAGAAAAAAAGTTGCAGTTGACTTTTTTTTAAAAATTAGTAGAAATATTATGCTATTTAGGAGCTAAGTAACTGAACTCTTGCTTAATTTTTGATTACAAGAAAATGATAACGAGGTTCTCTTTGATTTTACGCAC